CCCCAAAACCCCAAAACCCCAAAACCCCGTTTAGTAAGAATTGCAATATCTGAAGTAGATGTGATAATAAATTAGTGGGAAAGATATCCTTATAATAAATATAAATGGAAGCTCTTGAGTTGACCACACCAGCAAATATAACCTACTAAATGGTTTTCAAGCCATTCTTCTTCTATAGTAAATCTCCTTTGGAAGGTTGCTCCGCGATAACCTATACTGACAATAATATAACACCAGCATTGAAGGGCATCTACTCGGCCTTATCAATCATTTCAATGGTTTCATCTATATTTATCGCAATTACAATCTTCTACAATCCAAAGCTCAGAATCCATCCTTCTAAGCTAATTGGATACATGGCTGTTTGTGAAGCCTTATCTTGCTTTAATGCTCTTATTTGGGCTATCAATCCTATCGGTAAGCCTATTTTGATTTTATTTATTTAGATTTCATCTGCTACTTTGGACTCCATTACATGTTCAATTGGACTACTTTTGGAAGGTAATACATCTACTTCATCTCAAATTTTTAGTTAATCAAAGGTTGAATCTTTACTCTATCTTTGCAACTCAAACTAGATAGTTTTCTCATACTTCCAAACTGTCTCACTAGCTTTTAACTTTTGTCTGTGCCATGATTTGGTTTAAACCTTAAGAAATCCATTCTCACCAGGAAAAAGAAGAATGAAGTTTTACTTTGTTGGATCTATCCTAGTTGCTGGACTTCTAACCTCTGTTGCTAGGAAAAATCTTTAAGGTATTCATTTCAATTTGATCAACTTGACTAAATTTCAATTTTTATAGATAGATGCTTCTTAGAATAATAACCTATTGAAAAACCTGATTCAGATTATGCCTCATAGTAAGAATTCTGATCGCTTATTGTTTTTAGCTTAATTGCTTGTTTACAATTGACGTTATATATTTTGATGGCACTATTCTCATGCGTTTATGCTTATAGAAGATTGACAAGACCAGGAATGAGTGCTGAGGTTAGATTCGTGTTTATTCGCAAGCACATCGCTTATGTGGCAACTTTCATAATCATTTGGACATTTTACTTAGCATATTCTTACTTTAAACTATATAACGCTGGCATTTAAATTGATGCTGAAAAGGAAACTTTAATGAATGTTTTGCAAAATATCTCAATTATTACCGCTATGTGCACAGGAACAATCATGAGTTTAATCAGAATATAGGAACCCTATTTTAAATTCTTGATTAAAAAACAGTTTAAAGCATTTTTTGGAATCTTAATGGAGGAAAAAGACATTCAGAACTCCCAATAGTACATCAATGACTCCTTGGCGACATTTTTAACTTCTTCCTTGAATGTTGAACTTGTTCATGTTATCCTTGAGTCCATCACTAAGCATACTGTAGGTAAATTATACACTGGAGCAGATTATTTATCCTATCTAAATGAGTAAGATTTAATTTTGTTTTGTTTTTATCATATTTAGAGCTAAAAATTTCACTGAAAAAAACAGATTCAACATGGATACTATTTAGATTAGAAATCCAGAAAAATGGAAAGTCGCAAAACTCCCAGAATTTATTATTGATCATAATAACGCACCTCATCATTCTACTATTAAACTTTCCAAGCTTAAAGAAGGTGACCTTTCAAGGGGTGCAACCGTTGTAAACAATCAATAGATTACTAGCTAGTCAAATTAATCACCTTAACATAATGATGAAGATGAAGACGTTTTGATCATTAATGAGGATGTTTAAGTAACTGAGTTTGCTCCAGATGTTTTTGCCTTTTTGAGAGACCTAGATGGCTTTGACCATTCTAAAATCAAAGCAAGTTTAAGTCCTGAGTTTAACAGAGATAGTGTTTTCAGAGCTGGTGAATCTTAAGGAAAGAGTGGTAGCTTTTTCTTTTTCTCCCATGATAAGAATTTCATCATCAAAACTATGACTTAAAGCGACTTGGACACATTTAAGAATCTATTTGTCAAGTATTTTGAGCATGTCAGTGCACATCCTAACTCTTTACTTGCAAGAATATATGGTATTTACACTGTTTAAATGGAGGATGTTGAACCAGTTAATCTGATTCTAATGGGAAATACAAAGAAATCCAATGATAAAATGATCGAGCATGTCTTTGATCTTAAGGGAAGTTTTGTAAACAGAGAAGAAAAAGGTAAAAATTTGAAGAACACAGCAACTCTTAAGGATCTCAATTTACTTGCTCTTAAGAAAGAAAAATTCGTAAGATATATTTATGAAGTAACATAAAACTATAGTTACTCAGATTTAAGAAAGATGATAGACAGGAGATCATTGATATGATGGAGAGAGATTCAGAAATCTTAAAAGCACATAATATAATGGATTACTCGTTACTTTTTGCCATTGAGAGAAACTCTCATTATAAAGGCATTAAGGGGCCTTCTAGAGCTACTACTAGCACTAACTCTGATTAAGATGATGAAACAGATAAAACTTTACTTAGAAATTTTGATAAAACTAGACATACTTTCCTTTCTCACAGCGGTAGATACATTTATCATTTAGCCATCATTGATTACTTACAAGATTTTAACATTGAAAAGAAATTAGAAAACAGACTAAAGATGATCATCAATAAGCAAGGTGCTGAAATATCTGCAATTGAGCCTAAGGGTTATTAGACCAGATACTTGAAGTTTATGAAGCAAGTCGTCATCGTTGATCAGAAGGACGAACAACAGCAGAAGAAATAGTGAAATAGTTTCAATATTATCTCAAATCCTAATAAACTTATATAAAAAGAGTAAATAATCAAAATCAATATTATACCATGCTTAAAATCCTTGAGGATATTCTCAATGGGGTTTTGGGGTTTTGGGGTTTTGGGG